AAAAAGAACTATGTATTTACATTTACTAAAAAAACAAATGGAGGAAAGATAAACTGCTTTTTTTGAGATTTACATTCCCGTCTGAATTTGACCTGATTCGGTGACCAAGCTAACAAATATTTAAAAAAAAATAAATCATTTATCCAAAGTGCCAAACTTATTAGTTTCTTTCCATTTTATACTTTCTCTAATTCTTTTTTTCCTTGTGTTGTTTTTTCACATTTTGGTCTAAAAGCATCTAAGTTGGTTTATATTATTTGTAGTTCCATTATTGATCAAAAGATGTTTTGCAATTCCATTGCTTTGTTTTAGACTTTTAATTTTAACTACAAAGTCCATAAGAGGTTATTTGGATGTAGATGTGTCAATTGGACTGGATTTGATCCAACCAGATCCAGTCCAATGTGAAACCACTTACAAGTGGACTGGACCCAATCCAGTCCAAATCCAATATAAATCAAATCCAATCCAATGCATTAAAATGTAAATGGATTGGATTGGATCCAATCTAATAGGGGTGGCCATGAGTTGAGCTTCTTACGAGATATTCGAGCTTAGCCCGTAAAAAGCTCGACTCGACTCGGTTTAAACTGAGCTTTGAGTCGAGCTTGAGCTTGATATATAGGCTTGTTTGCTAATCGAGCCGAGCTCGAGCTTGATATATAGGCTTGTTTGCGGCTCACGAGGCTAGTATAATAAATAAGTATTTTTTTATTATATACATACATATACATATAAATATAAATATATGTAATAAATAATTTTTATTATATAATAATATTTTTATTTTTTATGAATAATGTTAAATAATTTTTATAATCCTTATTTTTTTGTATGTAAAATAAAAAATATATTTTTATATGTATACATTTTATTTTTTAGAAAAAAAAAATTGGCTTGTTGTTGAGTTTGAACTTGCAAGCTTTGAACCGAGCTCGTGCTCAAGCTCAAATCTCTAGCTAGAATTGAGCTCGAGCTCGAGCCTTACACAGTTTCAGTGAGCCAAGCTCGAATAACCGAGTATTCGGCTCGGCTCGGCTCGAATCCACCCCTACAATCCAAACCCAATGGAATATAAAAAATTATACAAAAAACAAAACATATAAAAATTACAAAAATATATTAAAATGAAAAAATCTTAAAATTACAAAAATATACCCTTTTGGCATTGAAAAAGCACTTTTGTAAAAGTGTTTTCATAAAAGTACTTTCGTCAAAGTTATTTTGTAAAAGTACTTCCGTAGAAGTGTGCTTATAAAAATACTTTCATAAAAGTTTTTTTGGTAAAAGTGCTTTCGTAAAATTACTTTTCATAAAATTACTTTCGTAAAAGCACTCTCATAAAGTGATTTTATATTGGCTTCAGTTTTGGTTGCTTTCAAATTGGACAAGGGTTTGGCCTCATGATTGGATTATTGGAAATTTGGTTTAGATCCAATTCGGACCAATACGAATATAGACCAATTTATTTTAGATTTGGCCAATCCAATAATTATAACGCTTCATTCAAATCCGTTTTGATAAGGTTTGGATCGAATTGGATCCAATCCAAAACCGATCGATTGACACCCCTATTTGGATGAAGTAACTTAAGGGTTGTTTGATAACAATTGAAGATGCTGAACTAGAAAGATTTTATTGCTTTATCTTTTAGGCAGTTTGGTTTGAAGGAAAAGGTAGGGAAATGTATGAAAACCTATACAAAGTTTGTAAAGGTTTCCTTGCCTTTCCCTTCTTTTCCCTACTTTTTCCTTTAAACCAAACATAGTCTTAGTGAATAAGCTTTTAAGGAGGTTGTAGGCCCCTTGAAGTTGGGTAGATTACTATACCATTGAAAGTTTTACCATTTAAATATTTTAACTAAAAGACAAGGAAAATTTCCCAATTAGTACCCTGTACTTTGGGCCTAGTACCACTTTGGTCCCCCGAACTTTAAAATGTGACAATTATGTATCCAAACTTTCAAAATATGCTAATTTAGTACCTACCGTTAAGTAGTTAACCAACCATTAAGTGGTATTTGCAAAGACACAAAAGCCCTTCGAGTGTCATCTAATTTTTTTTATTAATCATCCAAACATTGACACAAAATGAACAGTCCCAAATCATTTCCTCTTCTATTTAAGAAAGTTGGCATCACATGTCAGTGGGCGTGTTGACTCCAACTTTCTTGAATAAACGATGCAAGGATTTGGGACTATTCATTTTTTGTCAACATTTGAATAGTTGATAAAGAAAATTAGATGACACTCGAAGGGCATTTGTGTCTTTTTTAAGTCTCACTTAACGGCTGGTTAACGATAGATACTAAATTGGCACATTTTGAAAGTTTGAGTACTGAATTGTTACATTTTAAAGTTCGGGGATGAAAGTATCATTAGGCACAAAATACAAGGTACTAATCGAGAATTTTAAAGTTCGCAATAAGTCTTTCAGATTCAGCAACTTCAGTCATTATCAAATGGTCCCTTTGACTTATTTTGGAGCTTTTGCCTCATTTTCATGATTAACAAAACTTCGATTAATTACTACTTAAAAATTACATGTATTAATTTAAATTTAATACCAACTTCCATTAACAATGTTCCCCAAAAATGTCCTTATTTAAGCCTCAAGCCTTGCACAACACAAAGCTAGAGGCTTAAAGGCATAAGCCTCTACCAATACAAGGGCTAAGCCTTGGCAAGCGAGAAAAGGGCTTTTAGGCTTTTTGGTTAGCCATTGACCTGAGCGGTTGAATCATTCATATGGGAATTGATCATATTACCGGTCCTATTTTTTACCTAACCCGCTTTTACACAAAAAAACTGTTGATTCAGTTAAAGAACAGCTGACCCAAGCAATTTAACCATTAAACCGTTTGACTCAGGCAGCAGTTCACAGGTGTTGTCAACCTGTTATCAAGGTAACAGAACTGTCAGCATCTTCTTTTCTTTGATGTTTTATATTCTTTTGGTCTTCCAGGTAGAGTAGGGCTAACAAGCATTACAACATGGGCTTGAATATGGAGAAGTCATTTCATGCAATAAAATGCCAAAGGTTAGGTCCTGTGACTCCTGTCCAGCCCACTCTCCCAAGACCCCTTTTCAATTATCATATTGCAAAAATGCACGAAGCATTTGAAGGGATTTATGATCCAGCCCATCTTTTGCAATCAAATCCATAATTATTGATGTAGTCATTGAATCTGGTAAGAATCCTCTCTTAGCCATTTCATTAAGAAGTTGGAATGACTTATCTATCTCATGTTTTTGGAGAAATCCACGTACTATGACATTGAAAGTGCAAGCATTTGGAGAACACCCCATCTCTTCCATTTTCATCAACAAATTTTCAGCTTCATTCAGCAAGCCCACTTGGCATAATCCATCTATGAGAGTGTTGTAAGTAACAGAATTAGGCATCAATCCTCTCTGACACATTTCACTGTGGAGCTGCACTGCCTTCTCTATTCTCCTGCTTTTGCAATAGCCGTTAATTAACACGGTATAGGTAAATATATTAGGCTCAAGACCTCTACCCAACATGGAAGCTAAGATTGCTTCTGCTTTATTCATTTTACCGTATAAACAGTATCCATCTATCAATGCAGTGTATGTTATAATGTCAGGCTCCACCCCTGCTTGAATCATTACTTCTAATAGCTCTTGTGCTTTTGTAGCCATTCCTTTCTTGCAAAGAGCATCCAACAACGAATTGTAGGTCACAATATTGGGTGAGAGTCCTCGTTCCACCATTTCATTTAACGACTTCATGGCTTCTTCCCACATCTCTGAAAGACACATGCCATGAATCAAAGCATTGTAAGTGATACTATTAGGCTTCTCTCCCTTTTGCAGCATTACTTCAAACACAGCACGTGCTTCACTAATCCTCCCATCTTTGGCCAAAGCATCCACCAAAATGTTGTAGGTCACGATGTCTGGAGAGATTCCACAGTCCATCATGTCCTTAAGAATGCTTAAAGCTTCTTTCCACCGGCCAAGATTGCAAAGACCATAAATTAAAGAGCTGTAGGTGACAACATCAGGTGAGATGCATTTTTCTTTCATTTCATTTAACAACCTCGTGGCTTCTTCCCACAGGCCTGAATGGCATAGGCCATGAATCAATGAATTGTAAGTGATAAGATTAGGCTTCTCTCCCTTTTGCAGCATTACTTCAAATACAGCACGTGCTTCACTAATCAAACCTTCTCTGGCCAAAGCATCCACCAAAATGTTGTATGTCACAACGTTTGGTGAGACTCCACGGTCCACCATGTCGTTAAAAAAGTTTGAAGCTTCTTTCCACCGGCCAAGATTGCAGAGTCCATAAATTAAAGAGCTGTAGGTGATAACATTAGGTGATATGTATTTTTCTTTCATTTCTGAGAAGAGGTTCAGGGCGTCGTTTACCAGTCCCTCTTTGCACAAACCATCAATGATTGTGCTATATATGGGTAAGTCAGGTTTACACTGACCCTTTTTCTCCATCTCTCTGAGGATTCCAAGAGCCCTGCAGGTGTTTCGAGTCTTGCAAAGCCCATTAATGATGATTCCATAAGTGACCTCGTTGTATTGGTAACCTTTGTCTACAATCTTGTAGAACAACTCCATCGCCTGGGCGATCTCATGTCCAGCACAGAGTCCCCTAATCATGGTATTAAAAGTCACAACATCTGGTTCATAGCCTCGTTTCAGGATGATTCCAAGTACAGAGAAGCCCAAATCGGCTCGATTCGAGTGGCAGAAGAAATTCATTACCATGTTCAGAGTATAGAGAGTGGGACGGATTGGTAAAGAACCCATCTTTCTATACAGAGAAATAGCTGTTGTATAAAGCTTCGCTTTCCCAAGAGAAGCCAAAAGTTTATCAAAAGCCCACACCGGCGGGAAGGGTCGCAGGCGAATCATCTGATCGAATAAAAGCAACGCGTCTTCAACAGAAAGAGAAGCTGGCCTGCGTCCATTTTTGAGGAAGTTGTGCAGCAATTGAGATATTCCACTTCCACCCATTAAATGGGTAGTGAGGATGAGAAGGGGAATGACGAAGACGAGATTTCGATTAAGCAGTGGAAGCAGAAGCGTATGGAGGAAGGGGGGTCATTGGCTGCACACTTCAAAATCCTCTTCCTCTTGTAGCCTGTAGGAGCTCAACTGAACAGCAGTGGCAGTGTGGAACTACATCACGTGGCAATTGCCGTTTGCCGTTTGCTAACAAACAAGTAGCGAATATTGTGAGGCGTCCATTATTATTATTAATAAAAATAACATTAACTATCTTTTACGGGAGATGTTCTCATTTGCACGGTGGATATGCATGAGGCGCCATTTGTGAGGAGCAGATCCGTCTCTACTCAGACGGAGTGACGGACAAATAATACACGTCGTAGTGACGGACTAATAATACACTTGGGTATCACACGTGTTACTTGTTAAGACCGAAAGATAAATTTTGACGTGGGATTGTTATTTTGATCTGTTTTCCTTTTCTCACTAAGCATGACTCCCGTACTCACTACGGGACCACTTATATGGATTATTTTCTTGATCAGTATTGTATTTTGGCTCGAGTGATAATTTGGTCTCCAAACTTTAAAGTGTGACAGTTTAATATCTGAATTTGCAAAATGTGACAATCCAGCATATGAACTTTCAAAATGTGAGAATCTAGTACTTGTTGTTAACAAGTCTGGTAATCATATAATAAGTCTAGTAAAAAGTCAAAAATGTCATCTAATTCTCTTTATCAACCATCCAAACATTAATAATAAAACGAAAAGTCCCAAATTCTAGATTCTTCTAAACAATCGCAAACTTTTTTAAATAGAAGATGCTAAGATTTGGGATTGTTCAGTATTTTTTGTCAATGTTTGGAAGGTTCATAAAGAGAATTAGATGTCATTCGAAGGGCATTTTGAACTTTTCAAATGTCACTTAACAGCTGATTAACGAACTGGTTAACAACAGGTACTAGATTGTCACATTTTGAAAGTTCGGGGACCAAATTGTCCCTCGAGCCAAAGTATGGGTATTGATATGGAAATTTAGGTTAGGTTTTTCATTTGTTGTTTTGATAGATTTTTATTTGATTTAAGAGGCTTACCATATTTTATCTAATATGTAACTCTGTTATGGGGCAATCACACATATGTATCCTTTTGGTTTTTAATTTTTTTTTATAGTAATATTATTTTATTTGAGCTTTTTAGAAGATTTTATTTGAGTTTCACTATTTATTTAATAATTATATTTATATTTAAAATTCAAATAAAACTAACTATTGAAATTGTAGACCGTAGATTTAAAGTGATTGTAGGAAAAAATGGTTGTGGACAACCACTTCTACATTTCCTGCATTTTTTTAGGAATGGATGAGAATTAGAGTTTCCCAATCCTCATATATTTCTAAAGAACTATTATTAAATGTATGCTACCTATCTTAGAGTGCCACATGTCCTATTTAAAAAATTTAAATATAATTAAAAGCAAAATATGAAGAATGAGTTTTCTCTTTGAAAATGTGAACAACCAACTTTTGACATGCTTTCTCCAAAAAGTTGAGGTATATATATATATATATATAAACCTTTTCGAATTCGCACCATGGGAAGTGTGCGCCCTCGAACAGGAGGTGCACACGTCGGTCATTTTGATTTCTCTAACATGCCAATAACGGCAAATTCACGTTAAGTTTGAATTGTTTGGTTGAACCGGCACTAAAAGACAAAATCTCAAAGGCCCCTATTTTGGAATGATTTGGGAGATCATTCGAACTACCCTCCCATTTCTCTTGTCTGAGGCTCTTTTTATTATTTGTTGTCTGATTTTTTTCATCTTCTTCCCATCATAGCTGGAGTTATCGGATTTCGGCTTTTATCAGGACAGAGTCCATGCGCGCATCGTTTGTGTAGCAAGAGGACGCGCCACAGATTTTTGTTTCATGCGTGCGATTGAAACGTGTGACAAGGATTAAATGTCGTTATGTTACGGTTCAAAACAGGCTTAGCCTTGCCTATGTTTGGCAGGCTTATGTTAGGGACATGCTCGTCATTTTCGCCTGTAAGATTTCTTGGAGAACTGATGTCATCTTCAGGCAGACCACCAAAAGCTTAGCGTACTCTTTGAGGAGGGGTGGTCGACCTCCTTGGGTGCCTAACCTTGGCACTCCTAGACCTTCATCCCCTTGCAGGGCGGCCCTGGTTAACAGCTAGCATGGCTACCAGGGTTCCTCATGGGCGCACACTTGC